TGAACTAGGACAATTTTAAACTCAACTGCATTTCAATCTGTCCTACGACATATTATATTCATACTCATAAATTACATCTTTCATAAGACTAAAAAAATTCATTATTTCTAAGAGAATGATTACCGTAATCTGTGTATTTCTCTTTCCAAGAAAAAAAGAACTTTATTTATTTGTATTAATGATTTATTAATTAGGATGACTTACATTTCAATAGATTCATATAATCTCTGAAGGTATTTTAACTCTATGAAAAATCTTTTCTAAAAGCCACTAATTCAAATATACGATCAAAGATAGTCGAAAAAAAACACGTTTTTTTCAATCATGCATTTGCATTAGCAAATCGATAATATGTATGTAGTACAAAACAAAAAAGAAGAAAATCTTTCAATAGTTATTTTGTGATAAATAGAGTAATAAAGAAAACCAAAAAGAAAATAAAATAAATAACTGACTTTGATACAGTTAGCTCCACTATCAAAACAAAAAAATTCGGAAACGAACCAAACATTGGAACGATGTTGATTTTGCAAAAATTCAAATGAACTTTTCACTTTTTTCTCTCAATACTCTCACTCTTATTTTATTCTCTTCTTTCTCTCTCTATTTCAGTCCATCCATTACGTGGAAGTTCCATTGATATTCATCCAAATGCTCGATGGCAACAGAGTGGCATCACTGTAGCTGGAGGAAGTCGACAAGCCAATGGAATCAATCAACTCCCAGACCCACGGGGTTTGTATGTTGATGATGATGATCAAACAATCTATGCTGCTGATCGAGCGAATCATCGTATTGTGGAATGGAAATGGGGTGCAACGAGTGGCCAAGTGGTTGCAGGTGGAAATGGACAAGGAAGTCTAGATCATCAATTATTTATCCCAATAGATGTGATTGTCGACAAAGAGAGAGATAGTCTCATCATCTCCGATTATGTGAATAGAAGAGTGGTTCGATGGCCTCGTCGAAATGGAACAAGTGGAGAAACAATCATCTCCAGCATCGATTGTTTGGGTTTGACAATGGATGAGAATGGATCTCTCTATATCGTTGATGGTGTAAAAAATGAGGTGAGACGATATCGAAGAGGAGAATCTCAAGGAATAGTGGTTGCAGGTGGCAATGGAAAAGGAGATCGTCTCAATCAACTCTCTAACCCACAATACGTATTCGTCGATCGAGATCATTCAGTATATGTGTCTGATTTGGGAAATAATCGTGTGATGAAATGGATGGAAGGTGTAAAAGAAGGCATTGTTGTGGCTGGTGGTCAAGGACAAGGAAATGGTCTTACACAATTACCATATCCTGAAGGAGTCGTTGCCGATCAATTGGGCACTGTCTATGTGGCTGATAGATGGAATAATCGAATCATGCGTTGGCCCAAAGGAGCCACACAAGGAAGTGTCATTATTGGTGGAAACGGTAGAGGAGACCAATCGAACCAACTCAATCAGCCCTTCGGTTTGTCATTCGATCGAGACGGCAATCTCTATGTCGCCGATACTGGAAATCATCGAGTACAAAAATTCAATATCGAATCCAATAAGTAAAGGACATTGAAATCAAAAAAGAAAATTTTTTTATATTGTCAACATCGCAGTCATCCTATAGATAGAAGTGACGACGGAATTCTTCAAATTCTTCAAAAAAATATAATAATAAAATGTACTATAACTATAAACGAAATATATATCTGACTAACGTAGGATATCTTGGAGCTGGATTCGAGTATTCCGCAACGAGATTCGCCTATAGGTTAGACCAAAAGCTGAAAAGGTAGACAAAGATAGATCTCGATGAGCTCTATCGATTCCAGTATTTACTTTTCTCCGATGGCCTCTCCTTCCTAGAGAAAAACCTAGGGTGTGGGTGTGGGTGTGGGTGTGTGGGTGTGGGTGTGGGTGTGGGGTTTGGGTGAGTGTGGGTGTGGGTGTGGCGTGTGGGTGGGTGTGGGGTGTGCGTGGGGTGCGGGTGTGTGGTGTGTGTGGGTGTGGGTATGGGTGTAGAGTATGGGCGTGTGTGGGTGTGGGTATGGGTGTAGAGTATGGGCGTGTGTGGGTGCGGAGTGTGGGTAGGTGTGGGGTGTGGGTGTGTGGTGAGTGTGTGGGTGTGGGTGTGTGTAGTTCGGTTTACCCACACCCCACGTCCACACCACCCACACTCACACCCACCCACACCGACATCCACACCCACACACTCACACCCACACCCACACCCACAAACCCACATCCACACCCGACACCCACAGCCACCCACACCCCACAACCACACCCACTCACGCCCACATCCCACACTCACCCACAAGCACACCTCACACCCACACCCAACACCCACACCCACACCAACACACACACCGACCCACCCACACCCCGCACCCACCCACACCCACATCCCACAACCACACCTTCACATCTCACCCACACACTCACACCCTTACAGCATTTATTCAATTGAGAAACCTTTTATGGGTTTTCGGTCTGGTTTTTATGGAGCTCGGGAACGTTTTGTGAGCTTCCGAGGGCAGCATATTTAGAGATATCTTAGCTCGTTTCCGATAGGTTTCTGGAGGTTCGAAAATCGATTCTCGGATATCCTAAAAGTGTTTCAGATAATAACAAATTGGAAACCTTCTTTGAGTTTTTTCAGAGACGTTTTTTTCGCAATGTACGCAACTGTAACGAATGAAACAGATTAGGCACAATGACTTTGATGATGGAAATTGAACAGGAGCAGCGTGGCGCAGAGGTAGCGCGTCGGTCTCATAATCCGAAGGTCGTTAGATCAAAACTATCCGCTGCTATGATGACTTTTTTGAAATTTTTTTCTTTCTTCGTACCTGAAAAATATGATGCAACGCATTGCAATACAGGACAGACAAAGAAAACTATGGTACACTAAAGTATTGTTGAATACGCATCGCTGTGCAAAATGATTCACTGAGTACTCGTTTGATTGACGCACATAAATTCATTGGCATAATAAATTCTACTCTAATAAACCCTCTGATTCTTCGTCATTGTAAATTCTTTATCTTCGGAATCAATGAATCATTTCGAATATACACTGCATTAATATGTGATATCATTAGCCCAAAAGGTAATTTCAAAATTACTTTCGATAAATTCATTTTTTAAGATTGTTTTATATGCGTGACAAACTGTTTGTGTGTATTATCGTATACCTTGAGCTCTATTGAAAATGATTAGTATAGTCAACAATACAGGTTGTGCGCATTCAGAAAAGGAAATATATAGTTTTCAAGGCTTCATTGTATTCACTTGGCGGTAAAGAAAGTTTTTCCGTAGAAGATATGGGTGTGTGGGCATGGATGTGTTTGTTTGTGTAAAAATGAGTACCCACACCCAAATCCAGCTGGGACCGAACATCGCTGTAATGTTTCTTTTTATTTGATGCGTGCGAAGGAGGGCTAACCTTGAGCCAAATCAATTTTTGATACTTGATTTCTGGATTCAGGAAAACTCGATTTACTGTCGTTCATCGATCCTTTTAAGGCCTAATTTTAAAGCTACGCCCTTTGAAATGCACCTACACAGTAAATGGGAGGGACTTTGGAAATTCTGTCCAATAAAAAGCTGCACATACGTAGTAGTTCCAATGGGAAATCAACCTAATATCGATATGCCTTTTGAATATGAATTTATTTCAAGGATCAGCACCAAGAAAGGCTACTATTAGCTGAGACCCGACAGAAAATTTTAAACTTGATGTTAATTTTGAAGTTGAAGCCTCCCAAAAATCCCTCTCAGATGCTTTTCCTCTAGAAACTCTAGAATGACTGAAGCTGCCCCGCCCCTACATAAAAGGTCCTGATGCCAGCATTCATGACCTCCATTTTTGTGAAAGCTATAATAGCGCCGTGAAGTCAATTTTAGTAAGGTATATAACGTCTAAATTTTCAGCGCAGAGGATCTGGGTGTGTGTGGAGGAGAAAAAAAATTAATTGAATAAACAAGGACACCCAAACCAACATCCATCCGAACTTCATTTCAACCTTTACTGTTCCATACACTGACATTCAATCACACATTAAATCAAGATCCTGTCTTTTCCAATTCACAAACAAATGCGTGTACAGGTTCATTCATGTACTTTCAACTTAGTTCCTTACTTGGGCACTCCTACTCGATCGGTTCGTACCCCCCACGTATCACTTACATAAGAATGGAAATGCACCTTTATCTATCCATGTTCGCCCAACTCATCTCTTACTCATGCGTAATGCATAGAACGCGAACCCTACCCTGCCATTAGTCTATCCCATTCGTAGCTTTGCCAACTCATAGTCAACCAAATACTGATTGCATTTCGCCACACTCTCTCAAAACTCCCGCTTGCTACCCATTCACTTCCAAATACCCACTTCCTTATCCACGCAAACGCAAGCAAATCTCCAGTTTTACATATCCGATCTCAATTCGATCTCGAACTTTCACTCAGCTACCTATTCTCTCGTGTCCAGCGTTGTCAACCGACACTCAAACCACCTCTCTTCTGCACCCACCCACAGTGAACCTGATCACCAACTTGTTTCACACTGACGAGCACGAGAACCCGATGCTTAGACTCTCACCCAGAACAAAATCTTGAGCCGTGGATACATGTCTTTTCAGTGACATTGAAAAAATTCACTCAAACAAATATTTACAAGAGAAAGAGAAAGAAAGCTGTCTTTTTATGTGCGTACTGTCAACACTCTTGACTACTAAATGAATATAAGCTAAAGAAAGAGAAACATTTTTCACTGAAGAAAGAAATGTATGGCCGACAATAAATTTTTCAGCGACGAGTTGAAGCGATAAAGCGCTATAGGCACAATAGAACACCACCACATACTTACTCTGCACATGCGGGCTTCAAAACCTGAGTATGTTTCGGGGATGTAAATGGAATTGTTTGAGCGCGAGTTTTCGCTTGGGACTCGGCTTCAATCTACCAACTTTGCTTGTGGGTGTGGTTCTACAGTTGGCTGTACGGTAGAACCTATCAGCCCCTGAATATTTTTCGTCGGCCCCATTTTGTTAGTGTGAGTTTTACGTGTCATAATAAATGCCTTGGTGTCAGTTCTAGGGGCGGGTGTGGCTACCAGATTGTGGGTTCGGTTGAGACTCCCATTGTCTTAATGCTTCATGAAGGTGAGAATGTCTAGTCGTGACTTTCAACTATAAGACTGAATGTTGGCGTGTGTGCCATGTTGGTGGGTATTATTCGATGGCTACACCTCTTAGCGAGAACTATCAATCTGTGAAAATGTCAACTCGCTGCAATAGTGTGTGAATCAACACCGACTTTGAGGATGTGCATATGGGTATCACTACCTAGTTAAAAATTTCGAGTATCTGGTTGTGAGCTTCAATGGCGGGATTGAGTGCCAAACTCTGTGCGATACCTGCGGATTCGATTTCATGGTTGCACCGTACGATGAGGGTTATCAGTCCGTGCATAATATTTATCGGTGCCACTTTCTTAGTGGAAGCTTTGCCTATGAAAGTGTTTGACAGTGTGTAGGCTGTACTGATGACTACGCATGGATTCGGCATCTTCTCAAAACATTGATTTTCTGAGTACTTCTACCAGTCACAAGCGCCTGGGTATGCATTTCAATTTTCTGACTGAGCGCCGACTCCGGTGCGATGTTTTTGGGTGTAATTCTACGGCTACACCGCGCAGTCACAATTATCAAGGTGGGTGTGGATTTTTGTTCTGAGTCTTTATACATCGAGATTCTCTCGCTACACAAACATCGAAAAATATACCCACAGGTTTGGTCCCGTTTTATCGACAAACTAAAAATAATTAGTCGTTTTTCCCGCATTATCGACACTTTTTTTCCTATTTCATCGACATTTTTGTCCCCGCATCATCGAAATTTTCTATGCAACAGTATTTATTTCAAGAAAAAAAATGACCACAGAAATTAACAACAGGAGAAAAGAAATGGTGAAAGAATAAATAGATTTTATATCAAACCACAAAAAATTATTTATTGTGACTTTTGCCAATCGTTTGACTGATTTTTATCAAAGTATTCCGCTGATGATAAACGACCTTTTTCGTAACGATCCATTAAGTTCAGTTTGTGGTGCCATCCTTCACACCCATTATTAGTTCTGGCACCATTGAATTTGTAATAATTCCATAGAGATCTAGAAAATAAACATCCATTATCAATCCATGTTTCAGTAAAGTAATCAAAGAAATCTTGTGCACGTGGTATGTTTTCAAACTTGTCCATAATTTTGCACCAAAATTCATTAATTTCTGAAGTAGGCATGAATGCCAAAGCTCCAGTTTCTTGTAATAAACGTTTTACACTGGTTGCATCATCGTTAGATGAATTATAATAATCTTGATGTAGTCCAATTTCTTGTAGTTTTCTAAAAATACATTGATTGTCGTGAAAATTGCAGCGCTTGATTTTAGAATTAGGAAATACATTTTTAAGAGCTGCAATTGCGCTTTTCTCAAAATCGATTGTGATGAACTTTGGATTTAAAACTAGATCATGTTTAAGACTAACTGTTCGTAATTCATTGACCAATAGTATGTAAATTGATTTGGTTTTGTTTGGTAAAAAGGAATAAAGAACTGGTACAGTACAATTCGAAACAGGTGATTCAACATGAATGGTGTATAATTGACTGAATGGCGATGGACATGATTTGAAAGTCCCGCCCATGAACAGATGATCAGCTG